CGGCATACGACTGCCATAATCCCTCCATCCTATTCTGTTGGGAATGTGGCAAACGCGGCACACGAACCGTAAATTGCTGCCACCAAAACACGTCGGGAAACGACATGCGTCCCCAACTGACACGGGATCAGCCGGGAACGACGCCTCCTCCAACCCGCGACTAAATAACTCTCTACACGTAAGCAACGGCCGGATAGTGGCGATGGTGACCATAGGAGGACACGCAACGGAAGCCACAATCGACACCGGGGCATCCAGAAGCTTCATCAGCGCAAACCTCGCCCGACAACTAGACAACAACACCAACCTGCAAGATGCATGCGTCCGCATACGCCTGGCCGATGGCTCAGTCAGAGAGATCTCACAAGTTCTACTGGCGCACATCAAGCTGGATCAACGAGAGGTTCAAATCCCGCTCCTGGTCCTGCCAAACATGTTGGGACAAGTTATTGTTGGCATGGACTTCCTAGGTGCCACCGAAACGACGATCCAATGCGGTTCCACGCTGCTACAGCTACGAGACCGTCACACCATGCCCACTGAACCCGTGCTTACTACCATCCACGTACAAGACGCCGAACCCCGATACCAGAAACCCCAACAAATCGCAACGAACCTACGTCCACGACCTACCACAACGCACACGGCACCCAATAACGCAACGCAGCACTTGACACCCAAACCAATCGCAACGAATACGAAACGCCGGCCCACAACGGAGAACACAAATCCGAGGCCAACACAAGCCAACCACAACCAAGCAACCGGGAAAACGAGTCCCACGGTCACTACGGAGCAACCGCGTCCTAGGCCAACCACAGGGGACACACACTCCAAACAAACCACGAGGATCTCACACACGAGACAAACACACTTGAACCCGGCGCTCGACACAGGAAGCCCAGGTCCAAGACAAGCAACAGAGCAAGCACGCAGAGAAACCGCCTCGGAAGCAGGGAACGCACGGACACCCTCAAAACCGACCGCCAGCAGCGAAAAAGGACAACGGCCACCACCATCCGACAGCCCAGCCACACGGGAAACAGCCACGCTAACCCCACGCTGGACGGGGCCCATAATCGAACTGATCTCCACAGAGCCCCTCAACGAGGGCCCGGAAACCAGCACGATGCCCCCACGATGCCCAGACAGCCGTCCTGTCCGACCCACGGCCGACGCCACACCGATCCTCGCCAACACAATGGAGTACCTTCCGCGTACTGACATGATTCTTAGCGCCATGCAGCGAGCCATGCCTAGAGCCTTGTCCGAGATCTTCGTCGCCCACACAAGTCGTTGCTGCGATACCAGAGGGGTCATCGCGACTCACCTGTTCACGTACCAGTCTGGCTGTAGTATAACACGAGTACTACACCCGGCGTACCAAAACATCATACCCATGGTCGACACCACACCCATCGTCGCCCACATAAGCGACTACCAACGGAGGATCGAAACGCCCAGCGCCTTCGACACAACCCTCTCACCCGAAGACCCCAGCTAGCCATTTGACTCCGAAGCCGCCGATCCAACCGGACATGAGCCCGAACCAGTCCCGGAGCCGTGGCCGCCGGACTTGGCCCCGCAGATCCAAGCATTTACATTCGACAGACCCATCCTACCGAAAGACCCGAATCAAACCTTTGACCCCGGAGCCACCGAAGACGACCCAGAACTACCGACGGATCCTTGGCCACCCGACATAGCACCGCCGATTCAATGCCTGGACAAAGAACGACCGAAGAAAACCGCCGAGAAAACCATCGTCATATGGGATAATCGACCCACCAAGCAGACACCAACTACAAAGCACCCAGAACAGCAGAAAGGCCACGATCACAGCAGCAGTAGAAAATATAACGTTACCGACGCCACGCTAAAGTGACGAGATTAAAAGCGACGAATCCGGAGACTCGGCACAAGCCAATGGACAGGAAAAAGGCGAACCTCAGCACCCGCCAAGCGACGCCACTAATCTCTCCATCACCCACCCGGTAGAAAGGGGGGGGTGTTACGAACCATGGTTCTAGCCATGGCTCGTCACAAACGGCGAAGGGTCAGCGCATCCACGCTGGCGGGAGGCAATAATCTAACTGATATACACAGAGCTAGCGAACCATGGCTCTAGCCACGGTTCTCCACAAATAGCGGTGTGTCAGCACCCCGGAAATAAAATAGTCTTAAGCACACAATAAATTAAGAACTCTCGATCAACAACACCCCACCTCTTGAGACAATTGTGAAATCAGCAGCCTACAATGTCGCAATAAGCCAAGCCGACACAATTTCGCAATAAGAGATATCATTGGCGTTATTTCACAATAAGTCAAGCTAGCATAAAATTATCGACCTACCGACCCAAATTCAGATATCACCTTTCCCAACTGCAGCCCGCACCTTCCGGGATGCAGCCTCAGCAAAACCACCCTGACCCACTAACAATTGTCAACGAAGCACAAAGCTTCGACCCACTTACCGCGCTCCACAATTATTGTTATCCAATAACCTTAAGTCAGCAAGAATTAATTATTTCCGGGTCTCAGGTGCGATCGCCAGCTGCATAAAAGGGCCAAGATCGGCTGAAAGAGCAGGCAGTCCATCAGCCCAAACACAAGACACTGCACAAGGCAATCCCTCAGTCACACACCCAAGACACTGTACTACGCAGTCCACCAGCGCACCTCACAGTCAATCACCGAACAACAAGTCTCAAGTGTCAACAATTAAGTGAATGAAAGAGTAAAGAATAAAACAAAAACCACAAAAGCAAAAACCACTGCATCATAATTTCTTCCCTTGCCTACTGCTTTTCAAGGCCAGCTCGAAACCTGAAGTTCTCCTGCAAACTACTTCTATCTTTTTTGTGCATTAAAAACGTGCGAACGTACGTTCGCAACCCGCGAATATGCCCATATTTATATATAAACATACATTTTAGTTCACAAGTTTAAATATTGGTTTAAATAACTACATATATAATGTTATTTTTTAAAAAAGGTAGGTGTAGAGAACCCATGCATGTACATATGTAACACTCTTGTATATATATACATACATATATAAGCGCGTACATATGTATACGCAGAGACATAAGCAAATAATGTTTATGTTACACATTACCTTAGTATACTTTCATAAAACTATTTATACCCTCGAACTCAAACGCTTTGCTCGAATAGGCAGTTCATTGTCAATGTAATCCGCTTATGGAACAGTCTTCCTCATCACCTTAAATCCATTAGGAGCGCAACTCGATTTCAAATTAAAAATCAACGAACATTTAAGAAACCATTAAATATAAGCAAAATAAATAGACTCATCAATATACAAAAAAAATATATAAAAAATAAATAAATAAATAAAGAAAAATAAAAAAAATTTAAAACAAAACAACATTTGAATGTATACATAAGTATTCGATGTAAGTACATAACTCTTGTCAAAACGTCAATGTATAAGTATTACATTTAAGTAAATAACATCCAAAATGAACTATACATTTACATATATTCCCCGAGTGACTAGCGCAATAAAAATAAGTTTATACTTGTAGCGTTAGGATAAAGCATGAAATGAATACATATACAAAATACTTTCTTTTTGCACAGCAACGATTTGCGATTTGAACACAGATCGGTCAGCTACCAAAACTGCTGATCAGGCATTTACTCAAACTCAGGCAGAACCCAAACGCCCTAACACTGAGGCGATGGGTCTCCCTCTCAAAAGCCCCTTAATGCTGATCATGCATTTCCATTAGACTTGAGCAGAAACAACCAATCAACCAAATGAAGCAGTGTATTTGCTCTGTTGACTTCTAATATAACAATGGATTTCTAACATTATATTGTTTTCCCAATAAAAAAAAAAAAACAACCAGACACTACTAAGGCTAGTAGGCAGGAAATAAAAACGCATTAAAATCCATACACACCCCTTATCGTTTCTATGCATGAACATTTGTAGTTTTTTGGTTGAATCCGTTCCCCCGGCCCGCTACCAAAGCGTGGAGCCGTAGTCCGCTACCTTCCCGTCCCCTCCCTCGCATGTTTGGCCAGCCAGTCAGTAGTTTCATACGCGGATGCCACGGCATCCACGAACTGGTCTGGGGACGCCAGCTGAGTGAGACGGTACGCGGATGCCAATGTCTTTACGAACCGGACTCTTTCCCCTCCTCTAACCTATCCTCCTCCAGCACCTCGTGCCCTGTCCCCAAGCGCTGCGAGGCGTCCCACTCCCGCGGGGTTTACGTCCCACGGGGCGTGCCCGTGCCCATATCGACCATGAGGTCTTCCACCGCTACCCATAACTCTGGGCCAGCGCCACCCCACCTCGCGACCTATACAGGCGTGCCTCGCCCCGTCTACATGCCTCCCCGACCCCTCTCATTGGTCTTTAATATAAATATCGCTGTATTGAAGGTCGGGCCCTGGACAGACTGAGAGGCTGTACTTTGGCTGGGAAACTGCCTTACAAGTTGCGCACTTAATATTATTACTAAGAGAACTATTATTTGATAGAAAAGTTATCCACCCGTTGACACCGGAGCGCTCTCGACGGCTCGTGCGCTCTGCAGTTGTGAAAGCTTTTGAAAGCTATCAACGCAGATCACCTCTCCTCTCTCGCTTTGTTTTAAAACTGCTGTTAGAAGCTTTTGCTTGTTTAATTTTATTGCCTCTCTAATTATGGCATATCCCTCTCTCGTAAGCTGCTCGTTCAAGTAGATGTGAGCAGTAGACGTGTACGCCGCCGCGCCACGCCGCCGCCGCCGCCGATTTTTTACTTTTCTGATGCGCCGCCGCCGACTCACGAAAATATCGGCGCGGCGGCGGCGGCGTTCGGCGTCATACATTTTTGTAAAGATGTGACAAATAAAAAAAAATTAAAAAATTTGAAATATATCGTATAAAGTTGCAAAATAGTCGTCTCGAATTATTCGAATAATTCTCATGTCTCATCTCCCATCTGCCTGTTCCATCTCTAGAACAGCTGTAGTTCATGTGTTGTTTAATTGGTTTGTTATGTGCATAAATAATTTCTTAAAGTAAGTTTCACAATATTATTATTGGTATTAGAAATAAATTAGTTCAATATTCTCACAACAAACAGATGGATAAGTCATTGGGGATGTACTCAATAAAAATTCTGCGTAATGCAAATCGCAAAAGCAAAGTATGGGAGTTTTTTGGCATCTTGCAAGTGACAACGACAACCGAAAGCAAATGCATTGAAGAGGACAAGGTTTTTTGTAAATTATGTTTGGATGAGCAGAAAAAGAACGACGAAACAATAATATTGTCATGGTAATAATTAATTTCACTTTTTTAAGTTCAATATAAGTGTTTGACAATTGTTTCAGTGCTAAAATTCAGTCGTATTCCAAGAACTGCTCAACAGGGAACTTAACTCGTCACCTTAAAAACGAACACAATGTTCGCGATATCGATTCTAGTACTTCATTAGCTACAGGTGGAACGATATCAAATTTTTTCAACAAATCCACGCCAATAAGGTCTCTAAGAGATAGTAAATGGGCGCTGGGACGAGAGCTAGCTTTGTGGATGGCTAGAGATCTGCTCCCATTTCATACAATTAGCCACAATGGAATTAAAAACTTCTTAACCAAATATAAAGTTGTGGTAACTGCTGATGATATTCCACATTACAAAACACTTTCAACAACTGCACTAGACGATGTGTATGAATGCGTTTTAAAAGCAGTTACACGGATAGTATCTGGACAAAAACACTTTGCCTTAACCTTTGATTTGTGGACGGACAATTATAGAAGAAGAAGTTATATCACATTTACATTCCATTATCTGTCACCGAATTTTGGTATGAAGCATTTCACGCTGGAAACAAAATACTTGTCAAAATCTCACTCCGCAAGTAATATTTTAACAGAGCTTCAAGATGTAACTCAAATTTATAATTTGCAAATGGAATCTAATTTCGTCGTAACCGACCAAGGTAGCAATATCAAAAAAGCTATTAATTTGGAGTGTTTAAACAACCATTTCTGCCTTGGACATGGACTACACAATTTGCTAAATGTAGATGGCTACAATTCCGTGTCGGAAATTAAAAACTTAATTCTGAAGTGCAAAAGTATTGTGAGAGCTTTACGATTTAAGACACATGTTTTAAGATGTCAAGCTGACGCACTTCAAAATGAAGTTTTGTCAAATATCGACAATTTAGAAGAGCTGCTTGCATCCGAAGACACTGAATGGGTTGACTACGATGATGATTTTGGACCGTTGGATGATGTTCCCTTGCAAACTTATAAAAACATTAACAACACTAATGACTTGCGAAGTAGTTTGGTGGACAAGAGGAATGTTTCTCTTAAAAACTCGGTTCCAACTAGGTGGCACAGCGTTTTAGCCATGCTTCACAGTCTTGGGTGCCAAAGAGCTGCAATAAATAAATTGCTCACTAGCAGCAACAAGATTGATTTGATACTTTTAGAGACTGAAGTACAGCTTTTATATAAACTTCGTGACTTCTTGCAAAAATTTAAAGACGCAGTAAGTATTCTGTCTGGAGATTTGTATTCATCCATAAGCCTTGCGTTAGTTATCAGAACAGAGATCGTCTCAATTTTGGGTGAAGCTGAGAGCAATGAACCACTTTCTTTGTTTGAAATGAAAAATAATATAAAGAGTAAATTGGATTCGAGATTCCCAATATCAGATATTCTAGTCTGCGCATCCTTACTAGATCCGCGATTTAGCTCACTAGATTGTGTGTTAGAGTACTGTAAAGACCAAAATTTAACAAAATCTGATTTTTTGCTAAAAATGTTTAAAGAGCTGATTGGCGATGTACAACAAGCTAGCGATCAGCAGGATAGTTTAAGTGAATCTCCATCTGTAAGCAAAATATTAAAGCTTGCTCAGCGACATTCTACAAATACCAAAAATAGCAATTTGGAAGCTGAATGCCATCTACTTTTAAGTTTGTCTTCATGCCAAGACGTTTTAAGTTTCTGGAGGGAAAAGGCATCTGCAATGCCCTTATTATCTATGCTAGCAAGAAAAGTTCTGTGTATTCCAGCAACAAGCACACCCAGTGAGCGAGTCTTTTCTATAGCAGGTCTAACAATAACACATAAACGGTCGCAGCTCAGTCCTCACAACGTTAATAAAATTGTTTTCATTCATGACAACTATGATCATTGCAAAGAAAACTTATCTTAATTTATTTTTTTTTTTTAACTTTGCAAAAAGAAATTTAGATCTCAATTCAGATGTCAAATATAAATGAAGACTTAAATTTTTATATTAGTAAGGAAAGTCCATGAAGGACTACTGTTAATTTGTTGTAATTTTAATTTTTTTGAATACTTAATAAACACATGAAGTGCTATTTTTAAAAGTTAAAAAAGAAAAGTGTTATTTATTTATTGCTTACGCCGCCGCCGCCGACTAATTAGACGGCGGCGTACGCCGCCGCCGCCGATATTTTTTGGCCTCTACGCCGCCGCCGAAGCTAACACAGTCGGCGTAAACCTCACTGATCACTGAGCAGTCGATTCAAGGCCAAGCAACTGCAGGCTTAGTTGTTGTTTTGTCGCTCCACTAAACTCGCCTGCCGCTCGAACGAGAGTTAATTGTGTGTGGTTAGCGACAGTGCGAGCTGTCATTCAATTTCGGGGTTGGTGCTATTCCCAAGGCAAAGCACAGTGAATTAAATATAGTTTTGAGTGATGCACTTTCCATGACCGGCACACCGTGTAGCCGAAGGTCGCTAGCTACAATTGCACGTGCAGGTGCCGAGAGCTTGGCCTCCAACGCGCATACCAGTGTTGTTAGCCCATCAATATCTTCTACGGTCCGCTCCAACTTCTGTACCCGCTTCATCAGGAGTCTAATTTCGTCGCTCATGCCGTCCAGACGCTCGTTTATCCCGGCCGGCATGCGCGCCTCTGATTCCCTCAGAGTTGCTGCAATTTTCTCAGCCTGCCCATTATGGAATGTCATGACATGACGTGGCTATGGTCTCTGACGCAAAGCACTTCAAGGATGCAGAGGATACGTGCAACGCTTCCATAAGGATCTGAGAAAAGAAACTGAGCACGACCGGCACCAAGGCGAAAAGCTATCCGTCACAGGGTGCGCCAAAATACTATGGCCGAGGGACAAAGGAGATGAAATGAGTCCACGAAGGGCAGATGGAAGGTTGGACGAATGGTGCATACGAAGATTTGGAAACGAAAGCGATGGAGATTGTCCTATCTGGGACAACAGAGGATGCGAAGCACATCCTATTCACCTCTCCAATGTTTGCAGCAGATAGAAGAGAAATGGAAGAAGTGTGTGGACTAAGACTTACCACAGCAACATTAGTCGGTGCAATGCTGGAAGACGAGCGAAACTGGAACGCAGTATGAAACTTCGCGAGCGTTGTAATACCTAGAAAGCGCTAGGATGAGAGAGCCAGAAGATAGCAAATAGAAGGGGCATAGAGCGTCCGCCAGAGCCTTGCGACGTAATACCTAGTGGTCATTCTGTAGGTCTAACTGGCAACAAATTACACAACCCAACAAAATCGAACTTTTTTTTTCCTCAAGGATCCAAACCGAATTTTTCTGATAGATATGGGGCTTTAAAATTTGTTAAAGAATTATGAATTTTTTCTATGGCAGAACTTTTTTTTGAAGAATTTTTGAAGTCTGGTATTTTTTTTTTAATCTTTTTTCAGAGGTAGCGCTTGTTTTTTCCACATAACTATCTGTATACTCCCTCGGAACGCAGTAGTCCGTTTTTGTGGGGATGATTTTGTTTCCATTTAGGGTGGACGCATGACTGGTGTGATGTGACACCCATTGGTCAGAGTCTCTAAGACGGATTGCTGCAATTTCTGCCTGCTCCTTACCTGCAAGGTCAAGGCTCTGCAGGCATAGGATAGCATTTGGCGCATCCGTTGATGTGGTGCTCAGAGCTCCACTGATGCATTGGGCTGCAGTGCGCTGCACCTTGCCCAGTTGTTTAGTGATGGTCCCCTTCGATAGGGCAGGCCACCACACTGCGAATCCGTAGAGTAGTATTGGTCTTACTATTGCTAGGTATATCCATTGGACTATTCTTGGGTTCATGCCCCATTTTAGCCCAATGGCCTTCTTGCAAGTGTAGAGGGCTATCGTAGCCTTCTTCACTCTGTCTTTGATGCTCAGGTTCCAGCTAAGGATTTTGTCAATTACCAACCCTAAGTAACTGGCACTGTCGCTGATTGTATTTGGTTGTAAACAACACAAGTTCCGTTTTAGAGGGATTAGCTCCCAGTCCACGCGACTCTGTCCATTCTGACAGTCGCGCAAGCTTTGCGGTCATTAGATCGCAAAGTATTTGAGGTAATTTTCCCGAGAAGATAATGGCAACGTCGTCCGCGTGTGCTACCACCTTGCAGCCCTCCCCTTCCAGCTCACACAGAATCTTGTTGACTGCTATGTTCCATAGAAGGGGAGACAGGACACCACATTGCGGGGTGCCTCTGTTGACATACCTTGACTGAGTGGACGATCCCATTGATGATGTCACCGTCCTGCATGTGAGCAATTGATCTATGAGCATCACCAAGTGATGATCCACTCCCAGGTCAGTCAGGGCCTCCGTGATGGCTCCCGGTATGACGTTGTTAAAAGCTCCCTCGATATCTAGGAAAGCTATTAAGGAGTATTCTTTGACGTGTAGGGATTTCTCTACCGTCGAGATTACTTCATGGAGTGCCGTTTCCGTGGATTTTCCTTTTCGGTAGGCATGTTGTGCGCCTGACAGCCACTGAGGATTTATGGTTGTTCTCAGCTGCAGCCCGACTAGTCTCTCAAAGGTTTTGAGAAGAAAGGACGATAGACTTATTGGTCTGAAGTCTTTTGGGGTTGTGTGTGAGGGTTTCCCTGCTTTGGGGATAAAGACTTTTTTAGTCTTTAGCCAAGCGCGGGGGATTTTTCACACTGTCAGTATCTTCCTGAAGATACTTTGCAGCCAGTTGATGGCCATGTCCCCAGCTTTTTGTAACTGAGCCGGAATGACTTGGTCCGGGCCAGGCGATTTGAAGGATTATAAGCTGTTTACTGCCCAGCTAATATTCCGTTTTGTGAGGATGTGCACCATCGAGGTTTCCGGGCCTTCACTTGGGGGTCTGCCGGCTCGATGGTCGTTCCTCGCTGCTGCTTTTGGCTCTGTTAAAGAGAGTCCTGCAGTCTTTCCGGAGAGTATCTATTTGTTTAGATCACCAGGACGGTTTCTTTTTCCCTCTTGGTTTGGTTGAGGGGCAAGCTGCCACGAAGGCCTTATTGCAAGCTTCCGTGAAACTGTCCACAAGACGATTAAGATCGTCTTGTGTGTCCGGGCATTTTGGTGCTAAGGGGGGAGTAATTCCTCCATTTTTGCACTATATATATCGCAGTTGGCTTTCCTGGGGTTAATATAGTTAGTAGGTTTGGTGCTTTCGAGCGATAGGACTGTCTCGATGTACCTGTGGTCGGAGAAGGAGTCGTCCTCTAAGACTCTCCAACTCTGCATAATGTCTGACAGTTTGTGAGACAATAGAGAGAGGTCAATAACCTCTGGACGGTTTTTTATAATGAATGTGGGGTCATTACCCCGATTACCAATAACTAGGTTGGAGTTTAAGATGAAGCTGAAAAGTGACTCACCCCTTACATTTGTATCCGAGCTCCCCCATTGGGTGTGGTGAGCGTTGGCATCGCAGCCTATTATTAGGCCTGTATCCGACCTTTCGCTGTCGCTGGCTATCTTGCGAACGAGGTCACTGGGAGGATCACTTTCCTCGTGAGCCATGTAGGACGACACCAGGTTCAGGCGTGTCCCCTGTAGCTCTAGGCTAGCCGCCGTGTTGTCGCCATTGCTAAAATTGTGGAGCAGAAAGATATTTAGGTGCTTTCTTGCTAGAATTCAGGTTCTAATTTTACCTTCAATTTGGGCTACAATCAGCTTGTAGTCCTTCGTCGCTAATCCACAGACCTAGCCTCTTTACAGTGGTG